TCCCTTCCCGTGTATTAGTCACTACACGTGTAAATGTAGTCCCTTCCCGTCCCTTAGTCACTACACGTCTACATGTAGTCCCTACCCGTGTATTAGACACTACACGTGTACATGTAGTCCCCTCCCGTGTATAAGTCACTACACGTGTACATGTAGTGCCTACCCGTGTATAAGTCACTACACGTGTACATGTAGTCTCCACCCGTGTATAAGTCACTACACGTGTACATGTAGTCCCGATCCGTGTATTAGTCACTACACGTGTACATGTAGTGCCTACCCGTGTATAAGTAACTACACGTGTACATGTAGTGCCTACCCGTGGATTAGTCACTATACGTGTACATGTAATCCCGATCCCTGTATTAGTCACTACACGTGTACATGGGGTCCCCGCCCGTGTATTAGTCACTACACGTTTACATGTGGTCCCTACCCGTGAATTAGTCACTATACGTGTACATGTAGTGCCTACCCGTGTATTAGTCACTACACGTGTACATGTAGTCCCCACCTGTGTTTTAGTCACTATTCGTGTACATGCAGCCCCCACCCGTGTATTAGTCACTATACGTGTACATGTAATCCCGATCCCTGTATTAGTCACTACACGTGTACATGGGGTCCCCGCCCGTGTATTAGTCACTACACGTTTACATGTGGTCCCTACCCGTGAATTAGTCACTACACGTGTACATGTAGTCCCGATCCGTGTATAAGTCACTGTCACTAAACGTCTACATGTAGTCCCTACCCGTGTATTAGTGACTACACGTGTACATGTTGTCCCTACCTGTGTATAAGTCACTACACGTGTACATGTAGTCCCCCCCCCCCTCCTCGCGCTACACGCTTGGGATGCTGCCTTCCGCAGCACACCGTTGACTATTGAGAAAAAAAATTAAAAAGTATTGTGTATATTCGCAATAGTATTGCGTATATTTTGCAAAAGTATTGCGTATATTCGCGAAAGTATTGCGTATATTTTGCAAAAGTATTGCGTATATTCGCGAAAGTATTGCGTATATTCACAATAGTATTGCGTATATTCGCAAAAGTATTGCGTATATTCGCAAAAGTATTGCGTATATTCACAATAGTATTGCGTATATTTGCAAAAGTATTGCGTATATTCGCAATATTTTTTTATGTTTTTTAGATTCCATTTGGCACCAATGGGCTTCTGTAATTATCTACATGGATTTTATTGAGAAATTTAGATTTTTTAGTATTTTAGTTATGCTTGTTAGTTATGTCTGTTTACTGGATAGACTTTAGCATACTATTGTTGTCGGGGACATGTTCTCCACTACACATCCCTGCCTTTCACAATTCACGATATATATATTGAAATCATACAGACAACTTTGAAGTACAAGTCATTCATAAAAATATGCTTTTAATGGATAAAACAAAAAATAATTGGTTCATAATTAGGTCGTATTGGGTAGTATTGGGTAATTAGACGCGCCCCGAAATACCTCTACCGGAAATGACGTTTCCTAGGTTCTACCGCTGTTTTCGTTCACTCGCTATAATTTGCCATCCTAATTTTGGATGCGTCACACTGTGGCGTACCGGCTCACGGTTATCATACAGACTCTCTCTTCTGTCCCTACGTGGGCGCCATTGTAAGGCTCTGGGCGTGTTTCAGTTACAACACAAGTCCTTCATAGTTCTAGAATAGTGTATTCATGTTTCTCGGAGGAGAGAGTCTGTAAAATAAATATAAAAAGTCATTACTATTGCTAGTCTCTAATAATGTACACATATGGTAGGCATTTGTTCACTATCAGTTTAATAAGTTACATTATGTAATAATATATATATTATACAGACTCTCTCTTTTGTCCCTTCGTGGGCGCCATTGTAAGGCTCTGGGCGTGTTTCAGTTACAACACATGATCGCTGCAGGTATAGCATGTGTAAGGATCTGCTGTTCAGCTCGGAGTGACTCGAAAAGGGTTTGTGCGGTGTGAGGAAAAGTGGTTGCGCATGCGTCGTTCATACAGACCGAGCTGCATGCACAACCCCAGGGATACGTTCTTTCATTTTGTACCCGTGCATTATATACTGGGATGGACACCTTACACATCGTGCAATCATACACTGTGCTGTGACCGACATTGTTACAAATGTGATAACCCATGATCATTCAGGCGCGGATTTAGNGATCGGCCGGGAATGTGAACATATTAACATTTTAAAATGCATCAGATAATGCACGGAGCTTGTGTAAAAAAATCTGGCATACTAGCAAATATTGTGGTTTCCGTTATCTGATATTTTTACTATATTTTCTTTGTATCTTGACCCTAAAGTGCATTTTTATTTTACCACCTCCGCAAAACCGCAAGTTGCAACGCTCGGCGGAAATATACTAGCATAAGTTGCATAATTATATAATTAACCGCTCGTTATAGATGATCTGAAAAATAATACTTTTGATTGTCACCTACCGCCCGGGCGATATTAATCATATCATTATACAAGAACGATACAGGGTTTTTTTCGGCTGACAATATTATGTATAATCGACTAAACATATCCATTCAATTATTTTGGTTATCTATACATGTTAAAGTAAACGCTTTTTATCTGATGGAAGCTGTAAACCTAACAATGCATTATAGATACAGTGTTTCGTGGATATATTTCACAGGCAAGCAACGCGGACATCAAAAGGTGCTGCACCCTTGTTTTTAAAACAAATAAATTGTCCGTCGACACTCAAAGTGATTAATAGTAAAACTAAATTGAAATATACTAGGGCTTTCTAACTGTTTAGTTCAGCTATGGCTGTAGAAGCAAGTGGAGAGGATATTCTATCCACAAATCTAATTCCTGCCGACGTGCTTGATATTGACAAAACCCTAAGGAAAGCCCCGAAAAGCTACAGGGAATGGCGATTGTCTTTACAACAGCGTTTCAATTTTAATAAAAGGTTACGTAGGGTCACCGGAAAAATAACATTATGTCGTAATAACGACTTAGTATCTCGTAATAACGACTTAGCTATGTCGTAATAGCGACTTAGTATTTCGTAATAACGACTTAGTATCTCGTAATAACGACTTAGCTATGTCGTAAAAACGACTTAGTATCTCGTAATAACGACTTAGCTATGTGGTAATAACGACTTAGCTATGTCGTTATTACGACTTAGTATCTCGTAATAACGACTTAGCTATGTCGTAATAACGACTTAGTATCTCGTAATAACGACTTAGCTTTGTCGATATAACGACTTTGTATCTCGTAATAACGACATAGTTCCGTATATTATCGGCAATGCTATTTCATTAGTTTTCCTTCAGAATCGGCAGTTAATGGACGACCTGACATCATTCACCAGCCAAGATTTAAAGGTAGGTTTGCTTTTTGAAGCATCTCGAATTTTTTTATGAAAACTTGACTCATGTTGATTTAACCTTGAGACATTAACTCATTTTATTAATTATAAGAAGACTGATATACATGTAAAATCTAACCTAAGGCATAAAACATCAGAAAAGGAAGGACTGTAGGCTGGAATCTGCATGTCTGTTTGAATCCGGACAACTCTTAAATATATTGACAGATTTAATCGAAACATAATAAAAAAAGTAAAGTTGTAAGTAATTGATGGGGGGGGGGGGGGGG